ACGGAACTGAGCGCCGGTACATTGGGTTCGCGCAGCACTGCGCTAACTCCTAATAATTTACTGAGATACCTTTTCGAGCGAAACGATTGCTTGAAAATATTTGATCTAAAACGGGAAAAGCCGGAAATTTGGAAGAAACTTAAAAATTCTTCTGGGCGATGAGGGTGACGAGTTTTTCAAATAGTTGATTATATGATTTTGCTTTCTTTGTGCGTTTTTTGGGAAAAATTTAATTGTTTCGAAAAAAAACAAGAGAACTTTGTTTGCTGAAACGGCCCCGTAATTGTCAGGGAAGAAAAGAAGCATCAGAAAATAATTAATTTTTTGCGCTTTTGATTTAAAACTTTTAGTTTTGCAATCGGTTTTTGAGAAAACCCTAATGAATTTCTAGAAAAAACAGGAGACATTTTCTGTAGAATTCCGACAAAGCTATAAATCTGTCCTGTAATTTTTCGCGTAAAAGGCTTTCAGATTGTCAGTATTTTAAGTAAAATTCTTCAAAATAAAGCGTTTTTGAGTAGAAAGTAAAACATGAAAAAAAATCAGTTGAAACTAAAAAAACACATGTTTTTTAACAAATTCTACAGTCTTCAGAGGGATGGGGATGACGAGTTTTTCAAATTATTTATTATTAACTTTCGCCTATTTCGATCGTTTTTTGATAAAATTTGTTATAATTTTGGGACCAGATTCGAAGCTGCAAACGGATTTCAAAACTTTTCACACAGCGACGAAGGAGGCGAGTATTTCAATTTTAGATTTTTAGCAGAAAATGCCTTAAGATTGTCAGTTGTAACGGAACCGAGTTACTGCGCCGGTGCGTTAGGTTGGCCCACGAATCCATTTGCGCAGCATTGCGCCAACTCCTAAAAATTCACTGAGTTACCCAGGCCTATCTCAGATTGCTGCTTCAAACACCAGCTGGCTATTTTTGTATACTGGGTGTATCAAAATTATGCTAAATGAAGATATAATATTTTCAGATGTACGTGATGTTTAAAAATTATTTTTTACCGTTCCTAAGTAATGTTGGGTTCTCTCAAGGAATAAGGGTGCCTGAAGGATTTTAAATTATTTTTTAAATTCATACAGGCGGAGTCAGAAGACTGACATACAATTTTCTCCAGAGCTCCGAATTGTGAGCATATTAAGACAAAAACTCATTAATAATAATAAAATTGTCATATTTAAATAGGACAGATTTGCTTTATACAGTGGTGGTGCCGGTCAAATGTCGCGCATTTTACTTGGTAAAAGGGCATGGAAAAATGTACATTTTTATTCAAAAACTATATTTGCAGATAAAGTGTGTCAAAATAAAAAAAGGTTTTAATCATAATTTTCAAAACTTTCATTCAATTTGCATCATTTTTTATACCTCGTATTATAGTCGATAGTTGCATAATGATTGGAATAGTTTTTAGGTCAACATCAGTGGCGCGTTAACTGGGGGGGCGTCCTACCTTTTCTGATCCAATCTGTAACTAAAGCTTGGAAGCTAAAGTGTAAATGAAAATTTTAAGAACAGTTTTTTTATTAGAAATGACCAGAACACGTAAAAAATTAATCGCTGATGTTGAACTATCAATATGTTGATGCAAATTAAACAAATGATTTAAAAAATATCATAAGAAAACGAACTTTTGCTTCAAACTTTTAAAAATAAGAAAGTTTTTCTTATTTTTTATGCCTTTTCAGCTATTTCAAATAGTGACTTTCAACCTGAGCCATTTTGTATTTGAAGTTTGATACGTACTACCCTTCGACAGAGCAATCTTACAGTTTCTAGGCGTTATTATGTTTGATTACAGATTTTTAATTTAAATTTTCTGTCCGTTCTCTAACCCACTTTTGGTCCCATTGAAGCCACCACTACTTTCAGTTTGTCGTAATATTCCTCAAAAGTTCTTCCTCCAAAAAATGCACCGGTTTTATTCAGCGAATGAACCACATAGGTATGGAGTCGCCCTCAAAACACCTGCAGTTGTTTAGCCCACTCAAACCACATTACGGGTCGTCGATTTTTTTGCTCTAATTGTTTTTCCAATGGACGCCGCCCCTGTTGGTTTCCCCTTCCATTCCCGGGGGTGCAGTGACAGGCACATTCATCATCATCATCAGCGTTGCATTGAGACAAGTCGCCCTTCCCCCCAATCCCCTTTCAGTCCCAGCGCGGATCCTGGACGCGATAACAACAGCAGGACGTCGCCTGTTGTTGCCACACTTTGTTGAAAATTGTTTAACGAGAATAAGTTTCATCCGTATCAACCACATTATATGCTTTACAACCTGGAGACTACCTGACCAGAGATGAATAGAATTTTGTTTTCTTATCCAAAGAAAGCTAGAAGATCCGTTTTTGGCTAGGAAAATGTTGGTACGATCGGAAGGAACGCCAAATCTTAAAAATGGCTTTAATGGAAGATAATTCATAGATACCCCGATGTTTTTTGGCCAGCTGGGTCGCCAGATTTAACCCCATTAGACTTTTTCTTATGGGTTGTGTGTCGAACGAAGTCCTAACGCAATGCGAAGGGGTTTGTTCCACATAGTGAAAAGAAGAAAAACTAAATTCCAAGTGCCAATTCCTAAAGCTGACAATGGATGGAAAGATCAAGGGAAAGAGCGTTAATGGAAGATAGAGATTTTTGTGACTTAAGGAACATAAGAGCCGCCCATGCACTTTTCGGAGCCGCAAAATTGCCAAAAATTGTCATCAACATTCTATGATGAATAAGGTACCGTAATACCGTAAATACCGTAAGGAGGAGACGAATGGTCCGTTTAGGAAAATGAAAAAAAATAAAGATATGACAACATGGCACAAGATCTGCAAGATGCATTGATGGCGTTGCCCAACCACCCGCCGCTGCAATTCTCTGCGTCACGTCATCCATCGCTCACTGGATGCTGCACGGCTGTCGTGGTAAAAATAATTGATGAAACCTCGACTGCTTGATGCAACTGGACAGGGGCGCACTTCTTTTTCGTTTTTTGTGCGTTTTTGTGAAAAAATATTTAACGCGTATTTACGTTAAACGGTTAAAAAACGGTAAAAAAATAAAAAAATTGAGAAAATTTTGTGAGGACTACACGAAACGTAATATTCACGGCAAAAAGACGTGGAAGATGTGTCAATATAAGGTCACTTTCAATGACAACTTTCATGGAAACCTGTCACAGCAAAAAGGCGTTATCAGTTCACATAAATTCATTCATCACATTAACTTTTTTAAACGTCGTAATTGTGTTAATTAAATTAATTAATTAACTCGTTTAATTTAATTAATTAATTATAAGCTATGAAAAATTGTACGAAAACAATTTACCATAAAAATTACGTATTTAATAACTGCTGAAACACTGAAGAGAGACTGATGTATTGCAGTTAATTACAATATTAATATTTGATCAATTAGTTATATTTCCTTGATCAATTTAGTGAGGAAACTGTGCATAATGGTTAAAAAAAATTAAGGAATTTAACATGACCGCGTCTCATACGGAGTTTGAATCGAATCTTGAGCTTGAGGCTGAAAAAACTCTAGATAACACACAAATTCCCGTTCAAGCCACCAAGCGTCAAATTGGAAAAATAAGTTGAGGATATTTTCGCACCAAAAACAACCGATAATTGATATTAATTATAGTGCCACGCTTGAATTGTCTCATCGAACTGTGAAGCGTCGGTTTTTCAGTCTTTTTTCTGTTAGTTTGATGAAATACGTGAAATGTTTCTAATTTTCAATTGTTTTGCCCCGAAACCTTCTAAAATACGGAATGTTCGACTACGTCTGATTACAGTTTTCGTTGTAAAAATACCTCATGACTATTTCGGGACCTGACAAAAGCGTTCGATTGCGTCCAACATTTGGGTACAAAGAATAAAAACAGATATTTTTATAAAACCGTCTTTCTATATAAAAATATGCCAATTACCGAAAGAGGGTTTTAAAAATATCTCAAGGAATTTTAACTGAGTTCCACTTGTCCTTTAAAAACGTAAATATAGCCCCAGTACTCGTAACACCTGCAAAATAAGCATCAACTTCCCAATAAAAAGTGAAAAACCGTATCGTGAGATAAAAAAATTACGAAGTTTAAACGGCCCATATTGCCAGTTTCCTACTCCAATTTCAAAATTGTGCACAAGTATATCGCGTTAATAATCCAGTGACGACACGAAGGCCGAAGAAAACGATGGAACGCAACAAGCGCAAACAAAATCTAAGAATAAGAACAGCGAAAAATGGATGTACAGTTGGGCAAAAAGTTCTTTATTTGCGAAAGTGAGTTTGAAAATAAGGACAGCAAAACGTTTTCATTCATAAGGTCGATCGTGAAGCAAATAGACAACCAAAACGCGTTGCTGCCGAACCGAACTTTAAAAGTTGAAGTGCTTTTGCCGCAAAACAAGAAAATAAACGCGCACGACAACGTGTAACGGCAACAGATACTTTTAGTAGGTAGTTTTAGCAGATGAACCTGAGACATCGTATTATTGTTTTCCCAAAATTTCTGTTCCCAAACTTTACAATTTGTTGTTAATTTATCTCCATTTTCGACGGACAGTAAAGTCTGGCATACAGAGCGTGCAGAAATCGATGTGCAACTTTTATTATGCAAAAGAAGTTTTTTTTCATATTTAATATTTCTCAGTCCTTTTTACCTTTTTATCTTCATGCTAAATTTGTTGAAATTACTTTGATGACAAATTATTTCAGTATTCGTTTGGGAAATATAAAAAAAATCTTTTAACATCCTGTATATCGAAAACTACGTCTTTGCCAGCTAATCTTTACATGGAAAAGGCGCTAAAAAAATCATGTTTGTTCGTAACTTTTTCAACTTCATTGCATGGAAATTTCCGAAACCGTAAGAGATACCAAGTCAGTTAAATTAGGAAAAATAATAATTTTTGGGGTATTTAAAAGTGATGTCTTCGAATTCGAAAATCGAGATTAAAACCGAATACGGAAAGGGTAAAAGTAATAATCAAATTATCAATAAATATTCTATATTACATAAATTTCAGTTATTACGACAATAAAAGTATAAAAATAATTAGACTCAAAATAATCTTTGTTGAAGTTCAGAGACAAATCTACCAAATAAATGCAAGACTAGGCTTTCTGAAATACCACTTGTAAATAATTCATAATTAGCAATAACTCAATATACCGAGCTTTCTAACCGCTATATGTTGATACATATCTAGTCACTAGTTTTATATAAAAACAAGACATTTGTAACAATAATCCGACCACATATTTCACTGTATGAACCAGATATCAATCTCATTAGTAACTATCAGTTATGTACTTACTTTTAACAACTTTGCTAAGTTTTACCTAAGGCCAAGCTACGTTTCAAGAAACAATGTATAAAAACATGTCTACTTTGCTGAGGTCATCTTTAGTATTCATGAGAAGTAAGGTATATAACTTTGATCACGTCTAATTTATGGCACACCATTTTCTTATATAAATATTTTTTAATACAATTAAATAGACGCCCAATAACAAAACTGCACTTGCAAATTAATTAAAGGTAAATAGAAAAGCATTTAGCTTTACTTACTAATATCGCTAGAGCTACCGGAAAAAAAAATTAAATTCGATACAATGTTGTTCAGTTTGAATTTTGTACGTCTATTCACCACTACACAAACAGCTTGATTCCACGAAAAACCAAATCACAGTATAAAGAATAAAAGTATCACAATAATAATTACTACAATTAGAACAATTATGGCAATCCACTGGCCCTTTTCTGAAACAAAAATTGAATTTTGAAAACAATTATTTATGCAATGGATGATTTAATCGAGGACTTACCATTTGATATTCTCAACACTTTAGCCATCTTCTTCATGGTGGTATCCAGTTTTGAGTCAGTGCTTTCAAGCTCTGTTCGAAATTCATCCAACATTCTGGAAAATTTAAGTATTGCTGCTTAATGAAAATACCCAGTAGAGCTTAAATTAGGACAGAACTAACAAAACGACTTCACTGAGTTAAGTTAAGTCAATTCTTACTACATTTGCTACATTTTAAATCACTTTAATTATCCAAAAAATCACTTATAAACATTTCTTTTCTTAACAGCAACAAACAGTTTTCCCATTAACACAAGTAGGGTTCAATTACAATTTAAAAAAAAATGAATATTCGAATATTTCAGGAAAATGTTGGAATACTTACCCTTCCTGCTCATCAAGCTCAATCCCAATGTGCCTAGACACAGTTTTCAATGAGCCCAAACTGTCTGCAATCGCCTCAAGTTGGTCCTCCTGATTCTGAACCTCGTACATTTGCTGCCTCTGCAGAAATTGATGCTGCGGGCTTTCAATCTCATTCTCTAGCTTCGAATATTTGGTTCCGCTATGCATGCTGGTTAATCTAGCTGGACTGTTGTTCTCCAAAAGAGGCTGAAAATCACAGCCCTGTCATGACAATATTCTTGGCTTTGATTCCAGTTTTAGTTAGTACCTGTCTGGCAAATTTATCTTTGTCCTTCCCTCTGTTCATACTAAGCCTATCCTTCATAGACTGAATTTCGCTCTTGGTCGAGTCGATAAAATGTTTTCTCTTGGTCAATTCTTTATTGTCGATTTTGAACTTAGAGGGATTCTTTTCAACAATGTCGATAGTGTCCTCTAAGTCTTCTAGGTCCCATTCAATACTTCTAAGTGAGTTTTTCAGTTCAGTATTGGTCCAATCGATTTCATCTTTGGTGATTAGCTCTGACTCGCTCTGGAAATCAGACCATCGACGATAGAGACCACGGGTTTTCTTTAGAGCCCTAAATACTTCACTGAAAAGGGGAGTGTCTTACTACATTTATGTCTCTTTTGCACCGATATTATTACCACTAAAATGAATGAATTTGTAAGTATGCAGCCATAATGTAAGCGAATAAAAAGAATAATTAAGCTACAGGCAATAATAGCTAAAAATACACACTTTTCACTAAAAACGAAAGAAAACCCCACAGGAAAACTTCATGCATAGGTGTGCAAGCCAGGATCTTACTCTTTCACAACAAAAAATGGATCTTCCAAAGTCATTTGTGAGACAAAAATGAACTGTATAGAATAGGAGTTGTATGCGAGAAACTCTTTAAACACCCTGTAAAATTTCTAGCTTTGTATTATGAAGTGTAGATGAGATTGAAACATTTTTGCTTTGTTTATTTCCTAAATCGTAGAATCATAGGATAAAGACAAGAAGAATTGATTAGTGACATTGACAATCGACGCCGGGGTAGTCGCACGTCATTAACGTCATATTTCAAATAGATTTTGAGTCATACAGCGGTGCCAGCTTATACTTATTATCTGAAAAAATAACTTTTGATTAACAGTCTTTGCCCTAAAATAATAAGTATATATTTTTGAATAAAGACTAACATCTTGAGTAATGTGATGGGACATACCGTTTACTGGAAAAAAGTCCACATATATTGATTATCCGTTAAAATATGCTCCCTGTATAACAAATATGTTTCCCAGCAACTTTTCTTAAAACGCACCAAAAAAAAAACCACTTAAACAAACTAACTAATTATACTAATCAAAATTAATAAAGAGTCAAGAAATGTATAGAAACTAGTCCGAATATCTACGAAATGTGTCTAAGCTAAAATCAACTAGAAGAAAAATTATCGGTTTGGCAAAACGCGAAAATTTTCTGTCTGTGTAGTTAAAAAAATCAGCCTCTGTCATTTCTTTCTATCCCGTGGAAAAGCAAAGCATAAATTAGTTATTAAACTAATTTATATAATAAAACAAGCTTATTAATAATTATAAATTGGGCTGTTTTCAGAGTACCCTATTTTACTTTATAGATGGCGCAACGATACTTCCGTATCCGTTTTACTTCAACTTGACAGGCGTCTTCGGCCGTGGCTTCTGTCAACCGTCCCTCTCACGTCTTTCTCTTAGCAAATGGCCGATAAGCTGTTGTGTGCGATCTAGAAATCCGCCGTTTGCGTATTAGTTCTAACAGGTACAGTTCAAAAGAATATAAAGGTATGTTCTATTGATAACAATTAATTGTTTGAATCTAATAAAATTACCGCACTAGCAATAGTATAGCCGAAAATCCAATTGCAATGGTAACCTAACTTTTTCGCTACTCACTGATCACACGTGTTTGAACCTTATTTGCCCAAATGGGGCTTTAACATTTAAGTATTCAAGTGTTTCACGTGTTAATCCATTCCGAAATATTGGCCATATTTAGAAATTCTATTTTTCCCGGCTTTTGGAGATTCTGTTGAAAACAGCGTTCTGCTGACGGACGTTCAGAACATGTAGCAAAAGTTTTAGTAATTTAATTTCCTTCTGTCTGAACACCAGCTATTTTGCGGATAAAGTGATGATTAATTTAAATTTCTGACACCTCTTGGCAGAATTTTCCTTGGTGATTTTTAAAATATCTGACTTAGATCAGCCGCCACCGTGCCATTAGTGTATGTTAAAAACGTATTTTAATGTGTACACTTTATTTTCAGTTCAATTATGTCTGATACATGGGCAGAGGAAGTAGGGGCTGCTCCAGCCGCAATCTCGGGAAATGTTATTCCTGAGATAAAACTCTTCGCAAAATGGAACTGCGACGACGTCCAAGTTTCGGACATGTCGCTTCAAGTAAGCATCAGTAAATTTACTTATCCAAGAGACCAAAAATACGCTCTCAAAGTTTAGTAGTACCCAAACAAGCTACTTATGACGGCATCAACAGCAGCATATGAAGCAGTTCAACTCAGAAAGCATGCGATCTTTGGACTATCGCAAAAATCGTATGTCACTGAAACTGCCTAATATCCAGTATATTTCAATCTTCGATTCACTGGTCAACCGTAATCCCTCGTTTCCAATTAATGATGATTTTTTAATAATTAATCTGACACCTCTACAGAAAAAAATATTGGTGACATGCACTATCTGATTTTAGCAACTGCGTTTATAACTACTTTTATTCACTTATTATTACTATTGAAATGGTGGTTTGTTCCAGGATTACATTGCCGTTAAAGAAAAGAATGCTAAGTACCTGCCCCATTCCGCAGGTCGTTATGCGGCCAAACGTTTCCGCAAGGCGCAATGCCCCATTGTGGAAAGATTGACCAACTCATTGATGATGCATGGCAGAAACAACGGCAAGAAATTGATGGCCGTTCGTATCGTTAAACACGCATTTGAAATTATTCATTTGCTTACCGGAGAAAATCCTCTGCAGGTAAGGATCATTTTCGTTCATTTCAAAGCTTTAAAAAAATTGGTTATATACATTGTATTGAACAGTAGATACTGAATAACTTCATGATGATACAAATAATTAAATATTTTCTGACACCTCTTCAGACCAAAAACTGTGGTGATTATTTAATCTGACATCAGTAATGTTTTTACGCTTTTTTCTGCCATCCTTCAGGTATCTATATTATTTACTTTGTTGCAGGTTCTGGTTACGGCCATTATCAACTCTGGCCCTCGTGAAGATTCTACTCGAATTGGTAAGTTCGAGTTCGAGTAACGAATCGATTAATAATGAATGGCTTAAAGGTCTAAGCATATTCTTTTTAATTGGATTTGTTTTACAGGTAGAGCCGGTACAGTAAGGAGACAAGCTGTCGACGTCTCGCCTTTGAGGAGAGTGAACCAAGCCATTTGGTTGCTTTGCACTGGAGCTCGTGAAGCTGCTTTCAGGAACATCAAAACCATTGCTGAATGCTTAGCTGATGAGTTGATCAATGCTGCTAAGGTGAGTTTAGTTCTTTATCTCACTTTTTTAAAACACACGGTTGAAAATGATGAGTCACTTAAAATATTCTGACACCTCTTGTCAGAAATACACCATGTTGATGGACAAGTAGTTTACTGAACGTTCTGAGGAATATTTAAAATCCTAAGTATTAAGCGTAGGCAAGGACGGTAAATATTTTTGTTTTAGGGTTCATCTAACTCGTATGCCATCAAAAAGAAGGATGAATTGGAGCGAGTTGCCAAATCCAACCGTTAAAAGAATAGATGTAATGTAATAAAATATAGGAAATCATATGAAATGTATGCTTTGCTGTATTTTATTACGGAAAATAAAGTTTTTTAAGATCCAATTACATAATTTTTTGTTTTGTTTTCGCTCCTTAGCAGCAATAGCCGGAAAGTGGGAGTTGGGCGAGAGAACCATTTTTTTCTTTAAACTTTAGCATTGATTAAAAATTAAATTGACTTATTGTAATGGGTCACCCTCAAGAAAATTAGGTGGTTTGAACACTTACAAAGAAACATTTCTTGCAAATCTGCTCTAGCTTTAGCTAAGCTTATTTTTATGAACGTTTAAGCTAAAAAAAGTACAACAAATGGATCATAGTGTAATTATCGTCTATTGAACATATTTCAAGGTTGGTTATTTTGTGAAAAAGGCGTAAAAGTGTAAAAAGAAGCTTTTAAAAAGAGTTTTCTACTGAATGACATTTCTGTTTTTCTTTCGATAAAATGCCCTAGTGGATATTCATAGGTATGGGAAATAGCAAAACGAAAATTTCTCATAAAAACATGAATTTTTATTCTTCAATCAATTTTCAAAGATGAGTAGTCCGTAGATTGAACTTTAAGCGTAACGATTATTTTGACCAAAAACTTATGTTGGCTCACATCTATTCACTTCTCTACTGTCATTCTTCTACCAGTCTTATTTCATTTAAGCATATATTTTTGTTACATTTTTTTGAAACCCTGTTCGTAGTTTTTTCTGTTTAGGGCCAATGTTCCACATTTGTTCCCGCATTTGTATTTTCTATTTCAAAAATGTGACAATGAATTACAATGACAAAATGTGCTGTTGTTTAAGGTAAGAGCTATGCAAAGATCATTAGGGAACATTTTAGGAACATTCCCTGAACTTGAAGTAAGTGGTCCTAGAGAAAAAGTTTTTGGTGACAAACATATTGTGGATATATTAAAAACCTAATTGTTTTGACACGATGACATTGTATGCGAAATAAATGGTTCATTCATTTTCTTTTCTATCCAATGGCAATTTTTCAAGTCTTTGTGTCAAAACGTGATACCAATTATTTCCTAAGAGATGTGGCCTATTTCTAGATTATTTTTTTGTGTATTTATTGGGGTGTTACAATGATAAACCTTTTAAGAGCGTATCATGTTTTCGCTTTCAAGGGATCGACTTTGCAAAGTGTTTTGATTCGTCTCGTTTTATTTGTGCCATCATAATCTCTATTAGTTGTGGATGCTGACATTTCTTCTTATCAGTTATATAAGTATGAGAAATCATATTTATTTTGAAAAAAGATTGATTTGATTTCATTTACTTTTATCTTTTGAACTGGTCTATCTATGAAAGTAATTACCTCGCAAAATAAAAAGTAATATTACAATTTATATTGACTATTTTCACTTTGCAAGCAGTCGATCGGTAAACATGTTCTGCTACTCCAGCTACATTACACATATCCTACACGTACAATCACGAAAACGATACGGGAAAGTCAATCACATTGAACAGTCATTTACTTAATAACATTTTCTGGGAAAAATTCACAATGGTTATTATATTCTACTTAAGTCTACCGGTAATAAAAACAATATAAGTGAGTCGAATTTTTGGTTTTCCGATATACACTAGGAAATGATATTGCACGAAACTGCCATCTTGATTTTTTTTATTGTTTGAAACTGCTGAATTAACAAATAACAGAATCAATTGTATTCTGCCTCTGGCATTAGAGCTGAGTGTTTACATGGTATTTGTTCAAGAAGTTGTAAGCCATACCGCACAATGTTTTGTTTTCTTAGATTCTGTTTACATTAGTTTTCTTTTCTAAAAACGAAGATGGCAGGTTTTACACTGGCAAAATAAATTAATGCCTGACTTACTGCAACAGATATCATATCTATACGATATTCTGGCAAAATTTTTCTGAAGAATACAATTTACGTATTTTAATAAGAGTTCTGCCCTTATTTGAAAATAGTTAATTATGCAGCATTAGTTGGACGTTGTTTGATAGCAATGTGGCATAGATATTTAAGTTTTGGCAATTAATTTATTTCACCAGTTGAGATACTCACCAATAACAGAGGTACTTAAGCCATTATGTATGTAATAATACACGCCGAAAACAGTAAAAAATATGTCCACGCACACACTAATCAAACGAAGTATGCAAAATTATGAAATAAATAAACTTAACTCGATAGTTGATCTTAAAATCTACGTTGATTATTTCCGAAGAGGTTACATTCTATATAAATGTACTGACACTCATTGCACTCGTTTTTAATACGTTAAAGACCTAAGCGAATTTTTTTATGAATGGCATAGGAGAAAAACCTATCGTATAACGAATGGATTTGATGTGATAAAAGGAGCGAAAACGACTGTAAAAGAAGTTTGCTCCGGCAACGATTATTTTCACTTTTCTCCTGGCCAAAACAAAAACGACGTCTGAATACACATTTAGTAATGAATATTTCAAAATATTTGGCTTGTTCCATAGTTTCTTATAAATAATTTACGAATATACGATTAATGATCCTTAAATCTAATGAGCTAAACAGGTGAAAAACGGGTTTGAAGATGTCAGTCGTCTGGGTATATTTCTTATTTTGTGATGGTGGGTTGGTCCTTATTGCGATCGTGGACGGCCCTAATGGCGCATTGGTAACCGTCAAAATACTAGAAAAATTCAAAAACTTTAAATACAATTAAGCGCTGAAGATCGTATCAAGCGAGAAGTTTTCGTATGAAAAAGGTACAGCAACAGAGAAGGCTACATCCCAACCATGTATGTAGCACACACAGGATATAAGGACACATTAAACCTCTGGTCTACTGAACRCCAGTACAAATTGAGCAGGAGTTGATTAAACGAATACGAGAAGCAACCCAAAATGTGAGCCCAGTAATGCTGCGAAGAGTGCCCAATAACGTGATTACACGGGCACAAATATGTGTAGAGTTATACGATTTTCGAACACCTCTTGTGARTTSTYTCCATTTCAAAYCCCGTATCATGGAACACYCCATACAGGGTGATCACCTCTGGATATCTCACYCTGTGTTGTAAAATAGTAATATTGTGCTTGTAATTACCTGAGTGACCAACTGTAAGGACCTCTAGCGGCAAGGAKCCTCGGCGCCGTGCCAGCAGCGCGTCTGGACTCTGACCAGGCGTGGTTCGTCTGTGCAATTGTGCGCAAAATCTGGCCAGCACATCGGAWCCGCCGCCCCCCACATCACTGCCATTGCCCCCACCACTAACGGTTTCCGGGCCGCCACTGCTGCGCCTGCGCAACGGTTTCTTACCGCGACCACGGCACGCCTAAACCAATCAAAATATTTATTTTACTACAAAGTGCGTGCATTTTGACAAGAGTTGGAAACGGTTAGGCTGTGCAGTTGTTTTGCTACCCCTGTGGAAAAAATGGATATACTTGGATCAGGAACAAAGTGTTTAGGAGTGGAGGGAATGGAGGTTGATAAGAGAGCAAACCTTGCATATCGAGCATTTACCTTTCCATTAAGACTAGTATGCCGAGTTAACTCGAACCGATTCGAAACTCCACTTGGAGGCAAATCAACTGGAGCAGAACCCCGTCTCTGGTACAACCAGAACGTGCGATTCGGTTCGACGGGGGTGATGTTGATGATGTGAGGTGATGGTTGATCATTTCCATTATCTTCGTCGAAACTCCCTAGAAACATTGCAGATGCAGCAATCAGACACTGCAGATGTTATTTCAGACTTACGAAAATGATGGGAAATTTCAACTGGCACTGAGCCCCTGCGCAATGATTGCACGTCGGATAGAGTGAGTCCTCCGCCTGCAGAGGACACAAATTCATCCGGCTTGGATAAAACTAGAGATACTGGGGCGGAACCTCTGCGCGGCATGGACTGTAATAATTAAAAATTTGGCTTAGATGAGCTGAAGCTAAACGGATCGTCACACTTACCGCAGTCTGCAGTTTGCTCGGGTCCAAATTTTCCTTTTCGCAAAATGGACCGCTACTTTCAGACAATTTCACTCGTTTTTCCTTTTCTTTTTCGCCGCCAGACGAGTCCGTCTCCCTCTTATTGCTAATGCTGGAAGCCGTACAATACTTAAAAGTTATCTTGGATGGATCAGTGCTAAGGTTACCTACCAGTGAGTTTTAGAGTCAGTAGACAGGAGCAGATCAGGGGGTCTGCTGTTATTAGGACTCAACACTGCAATAGCTGGAATAGTGTAGTTTGCGGACTGCTGATTTGGTGGGTGAACCGAATGAATCAGTTGCTTCTTTGCATTTTCACTGCGTGATATGTTTTCGTGCGAACTGTGAGATGAGCTGGTCCTACTGTCGCCTATAGCAAACATTCCACATGCATTGCCGCGGTGTGGCTGCCAGTGAAGTACCGAACTTACCTTCGTGGGAAGTTTCCGGGCAAGTCGACATTTCCACAGTAGCGCTCATATACCGCACCCTCATGTAGGGTTGCGGTGGAGGGAACGTTTGTTGCCTCGTGAGACACTTAGTGTTAGAGCCGGATGTTGCCTGCGTTGCTCTATCGGCGGCACTTTGTAAAACCGACGTGAGATGCCGGATGGCGCTACTGCTTGACATGGAAGCTATCGAAGGTTCTGGCAAGAGATTCTCGGCGCTTAACGGACGTTCTGGATTTTCCTCTGAAAATTGTCACTCATTATTTTGGTACAGGAAAAACCTGCAACTGTTTCAAAAGCCTGCAACGCAATATGTAGTGAGGTATCAATGAAAAATTATTCGGTAAATTTTGGAAAGCATTTTTTTAATGATGAGTAGGTAGAAACATGAAAAATGAAAAAAACCGGGTGTTTTTCAAACATACTCTGGAATCAGATAGCAGAAATGGCGAGCAATGTATAGACGTTAAACCGCAAGGTATTTTGAAAACGAACAAAAAGTTTTGAAGCAAAAAAGATTGAAAAAGCCTCAGACGTGTTTTGGCAACATCAGGGGGGAACCAAGATAACCACGAAAAAAATGCTTAATGGGAGATGGAGTCGAGTGAACTTCATTTGAGAGATATTTATGTCTTTATTACAGCCCCAAAGTCGCCCTGATCTTCGTGGCAAATTCCCAGAAATTGAGCATACAATGTGGATAATTGTTTTGAGCGTGAAATCGGGCTGCAATCGATTAATCGTACGATTTATTAAAAATTTAAGTCATATTGGAAATTATTGCCGATTGTCTTGGAAATTTTTGGGTTATTTGTTGTTTCCTAACTGTACTTTTACAGATCGGTTTAACTTCACTTTATAACCCCATTTCACAAGATCGGTTTTCTTCTTAGTAATAAATATTGTTTGGATTTAATATCGCAGTTAGATGTTGAAAGTAGGGCTCGGAATTTTAAAAAACCTGATATTCGAATATTTGTTTAGTGGTTTATTCGAATAGTAAAATTATTCGAATACTCGAATATCTGACGAATATTCGAGTATTTCTATTCGTATTCTTTAGATATTCGAGTGTTCGTTTTCCGTTCACCGTTTTCCAAGAAGAAAAATCGTTATCTCATATCATTTTTGGCAACTAGCCGCAACGGATAAAACCTTATAATAAGGATTATAAGGAATACGATAATTGTAACACCGCGCAAAAGTTGATGACGCGTATCACCAGAACACAGAGACGTAATTTTACATTCATTTGCAGGAGAGTAAATATGATTATTTTCAATTGCTTGTAAATATATGGGTATTTGTTTAAATGCTTGTAGAATATGAATAATTTATTTTATAAAAGTATACAAAGTGCATATAAAGATATTTGCACCTTGTGAGTTTGATAATGTTGGTGTATTCGAGTATTCGGATATTCGAATATTCGAGTTATGATTACACATAATTATTCGCTTTTCGAATATTCGAATACTCGAATTATTCGAGTTTGATTCCGAGCCCTAGTTGAAAGCAGCATTTGAGAGTTTCAAAAGTAATTGACTTTAAGCCCACCAAAAAAAAAAACGTTTCATTTTAATAGTTATTTATAACTAACTTTTAACGCCAAAACTATACAGTGGATTAAAAACCTCTAGACTTTGTTCTTCAAGTAAGAACTAAACGGATGTTGATATTCTAAAGCGACCCCCACTTTTACTAATATCGATATTCAAGATGTATGAATTGCCCAGCATATTTTATTAGCGACAAATAGCAAACCTGCCGTAGATTAGTCGTTTTTTTTTAAGCCAAACAGCGAAAACATCAAATTCAGTACTCACAACCGTAAAAAGTGAACTAAATCGGGATGAAACTAGACAACTTTTAGTTTTCTCCGATTTGGTCCATAAAACTAGCGAAATAATAGTGACTAGAGTTCTTTCTTCGAGAGTTTCCTACAAAGAAGGGTAACCGTAAACTAAATTGTTAAAAAGCAAAACTTGTGGCACACTTTTGATTGCTTCATTCCCTTGAAAAGCTTAAATGGCAATAAGTTAATGCGAATTTTGCGTCAAAAGGTTTTTTAATTCTGCGGAAAAATGCGCACAATGAGCTTGAAAAGTTGCATTAAATTCAATAAAGTATTTGGACCCGATTTCTTAGAAAAATAAATTTGTTATTTAGAGAGTAGTCCTCAACTAATGTGACAAAATTCACTTCCAAAAAGTTGCCTTTCAGGCAAGTTTGCCTGATCCAAAAGTTAATACTTTCCAAGCCACGGTTGTCAAATTTTCGTTCTTTTTTATTCTTAACCAGTTTTACTGTTACCAAAAAAAATTGTGCTTGGGGTTTTTTTAGATCGCGACTGAATCAGTTCAAAAAGATATTTTCCAGATATGTATATCAATCGTTTAGCATTCGGCAGTTTTGAAACCGTGATTGAATAAACTCCAAACTTTTCAAGTTGATTGTCGAAAAACAATCCAGAACAAATTTTTATCATCTATACCTGAAGAATGGTACGGGCTGCCGCTGCTTATAACTGAAGATTGCGATCCATACTGCAACAACTCGTCCTCTTCTCTAAGTCCACTGGAAGCCCTAGATTCGGTTTGAGGTGATACCGGCGATCTGCCCTGTGTAACCCTGATGGTGGCAGTACTTGGTAAACTTTCCCTTCGGTAAATAGTGCGTGGAAGCGCCGCCTGTTGAAAAAGAGTATCAGCAATATTCTTTCAAGGAAATCGCACTAAGAGAAACAAGAAATTAGTCGAAAGCTATATTGGTGTTCAATCTGCAGCACCTTTAGCTTACTTACTTGGTGTCGTTGCGGTGAACCTCCAGTCTGGTGAGGGATTTCCATATGAACTGGAACGGAGTGTCGCCTGATACCTAAAGACTCCGGAGTTGGCACGGCGAGTGATTGTCTTCGCGGCTCACTAGAACAATAGCCAACAACGATATTCATTCAACGATTCAAGTTCTTCCTAATATAAGAGTCCTTTACCTGACTGGAGGTGGCGGGATGAAATCATGAATGCTGGTGCTATCCGAAGACCTTTTCGTCGCCTCCTCCTCATCGCTGACTTCCGGCTCGGCATCGGACAGTTCGGTTTGAGTTTCTTCGGCCTGTTCTGCACACTCTTGCTCTTCCCACCGCCTGCGGTTGGAGTCGAGCATCTCCATCATGTGCGTAGAAAGGGCGCTGCGCATAAATCTGTGCCATTCGGAGAAGAGCGGCATGACGACAAAACGGAAAAACCCTGGAAAACATACAGAAAAATCTCATCCAAAACGGGTTTTGTTTTATTTTGAGATAGTGCGACATTTAATACACCATCTAGACTGAATCACCCTGTATAATATTCAATGTAAATCCATCGAAGCTGTAGCAATACCGAAATTCCAGAGACATGGCTGCTGACATGATTGAAACGATCATGGGGATTTCTCGGAAAATTGCAAAACCTTTCCGTTTTTTTGACACCGAAAATATTTACCACATTAAAAAGGAATCCATGCTGTCGCGCTTCCAGAAACATCGTTGATAAAAACGTATTTATTTCCCATAAGACGCACGAGTTTCCAAGTCACGCGGAGAAAAGTCGTGTAAAATATTCTGCTTTTGAGATTATTTTATACTTTCCGGATTACCGGATAGAAACTCATTCAATTTCTGAATTTGCACGTACGTTGTTTAAAACAATGAAGCAATTTTTTTGATTTTTTTTATATCCACAGCTTGAGTTCGCTTACCAACTTGAATTTTCGCCACAGATGTAGTCTGTTGATCGCATATGGAGGTGACAGGCAACCCCAATTCCCTTTCGAATTCGCCCTGTCTGAAGAATTCATCGCACACCTTGATGGACCACTTATGTGATATGTCCCAGGGCCTTGTCGGGTTCGATATGTCCGCACATTTCAAAGCGATCTGCAAAATGAACTGACGATTCTCAGGCAGGCGAAGATCCAACGTGTTCTCGTTGATGTGTTTCTGAAAATAGTTGAAACGATTCTGAGTACGCAAACATTGAACTCAATGACGAATACCTACTCGAAACTTGGAGAGGAATTCCTGTTGCCTGTTGATATCAGTGGCTAAGATGAGATCCCTTATTTGCTGCTCCAGCTCATCTCTGTAAGGATGGAGTTGACCTGCTACTCCACTCTCCAAGAGACAACCTACGGCCGATCTCCAGTGATGATTTTCTAATACCGACATATTCTGAAATTGAAAATTAAATTTTAAATGCTGCGAACCAGAATCATCAGAAAAAGAGGATCTGTTTTTTTGAAATTATTTTTGCTGTTCAAGTTTAAATAGAAGGAGATTGGATAGTTAAAACTAAAGGAGTATTTGTAAGGTGTTTAGAAGTGCTTCTAACGCCTGTTCTATTAATTCCTGAAGTTATCAAGATTGAACCTGAATCACTCTGTATACAGTCCAAATCTTAAGTATGCTCTGAGCACGGAACCATTTTAACTAATTATGCCTCAGGTTTGGGCTTTTCATCGTAAATGACTAAAATTTCTTGTTCGAAAAAGCCGAACGCTGTATAGTTATAATGGAGAATTTATTTTGCCATATTGTTTTCGGGCATAACATTTTCACGGAAATTACTCCCTTCCAGAAACATGGGGTCAATTGAATATCCGAGGACTCCAAATCCCACGAGTTTTATGTTTTTCGTTGGAAAAGGCCAAAGTATATATGAAATCAGTTTATTATCAGAGAGCAAAATTTACGATGCCCGAACCTAATATTGATGTTTTACTGGAAAATCCTGGCAAAATTCAGATTTTCCTTTATATGATGGATGTTCGATGGAAATTAAGGTTTGCTCATTCTCAAACTCCTCGTTGGTACAGTTCAAGATTGGTGTAATTTTGAACGTTTTCAGTGAATCATTAGACTTCATATTCGCACAACTGCACCAGCAGCTTAATTTTTCAAAAATCCATCCATTGCGTTTAGCGCCGATGGGTTTACACAGCAAAACATTGTTTTAATACGCAGAATAATTCGGTTTTTTTGGAATATTACTTAAAAAAAGTCTCAATAATCGATCAAGTTTAGGCAATATTTCCCAATTTCCATTTTAATGGGTAGGAATTTAAAAACTTGATTTCCTCAAACGTTCATTCAAGTTTGTGAATGAGTGAATTTATGTCGAAAAACCAACATATCAAAAACGAATATATCAAATGTTAAGCAATCCTAATAATGCAAGCGTTTTGTATGAAAATGAAATTTAATTGTACAAATTTTTATCTGGCGCTCGATTTGTACTTTCTACCCGAAGTGCTAGCGGGAGAAAGGATTTATTTGCTGACCATCTAAGAGTCAAGCGGAATTCTTCACTAGAAGAGCTATAAAAATAAAATTAGGCAAGCAAACACAGAGAAAATGTAAGTAGCAAAAGCAAATTATTATCATTTAGAGTTCAGCCCTTTAAATAAATTGAAAAGTAAGCGGTGCTCCACTTTCTGTTGATATCAGTTCAAACGACGAAGCAAATAAACTGATGAAACTGTTTATTTCAAAATTTGCTATCATAATAAAAGACATCGAGAATAGAATATTGATACCTGATACAGAATGGCGAGATGATTCGAGGTGGTGATGAGAAAATGTTGGTTCACTCCAGGATGATCGAGATCGTGGGCGACAGCACCAATAAGCGACGCCATTATTTCGAGTGGAGTCAAGTGCCGCCTTATCTGAAATTTGCAATTCGACTCTCCTAATTAACACTTTAACAGCTCCATATCTAGAGTTGGTCAATTAAGACATTTATGTGAGTCCAAGTCCACTGGCGAATGCTTGAAAAACCTACCTTTTCTTCCTGAAGAAAACAGTGCATTGCTTGAGTTACATCAGTCGCATGAATCGAATTGTGATAGGGATTCGTGTTGTGGTATCCCTCCTCTATAAGAGCTAAAATGTGAACAGACCCTTAGCAATGGGAAACTTTGTTAATTGAAAACGCTTGAGCGCAAACATTAAGAAGCGAACTGGTCAGTTTTCCGGCCGCTTTTGCTGGACTTACTAAATAATTTCCAGACGCACACCACATCCAACTGGAAGTGATCCAGTAAACCGTACCAGTGGAAAAGATGTACGCAAAGTACAGGCAGTGATCGGCCACCGGCCACGGTTTCCAGAGTGAAAGCGTTGAAAGCCCATGCGCTGCAACGGTCCAGAATTATCTAAAAATCGCAAATTTATCTATCAATCAGTTGAACCACCATCACCCACATAGCAAAATGATATTCCCAGAATATACCTGGAACATTCATGTGATGTACATGCATATTCCTGGGACATACATGAGTTACATTATGAAC